GGAGCATTGTTAGGGAATGCTCCAGAGCAGATGGGCTCTGGTGGTTTGTGAACGTCTGGGTGGGCCACATACTCACAGGCGCCGCGCTCTGGAAAAGAGATCCCTGGACCCAAGTCCTGAGGGCTATGATTCAGCCTGAGAAGCTTATTTTCAGTCCGTTTCCTCCTAGGTGAGCCTGATTACAGCTATATTTATATAAAGCATAAAAACAATGGAATATATATATGGTCTTATACTGATGGGTGGACCTGGGGCCTCACCTCTTCACCGTGTGCCACCCACTACTCTGAAATGAGTTCCCTGGGTTGGAATGTGCAAACTTGAGGATGCTATGGGTAGCCCACCCGGAGGGAAAGGAAATGCAAAGGTCTGGCTTCTACTTGACCTCTTTCTACAACAGCGCCAAGTGGGATACTGTCTAACTAACCACAGCTCCAGGGGCCATAAATGAAGCCCCAGGCCCAAGAGCGTCTGGTGGGAGGGCTGTCACAAGACAACACCTGTCCTCAGCAGGGTCAGTGGAGGAGCAGAACAGGCCCACCCACTCACCTCTCACCCACAATCATACAAATCACTAGATGTTAGTCCCAGGCAAGATCAAGCTCCCACTTCCCACTGCCCGCATTGAGCTGGCTCTGACTCATTGTGAGAAGTGCCCCATCGTTTTCCAGGCTGTGATCTTTGAGAAAGTCAGAGACTGTCTTCGTGGAGGATGTGGATGCTCATGGCATCCCAGCTGGCTGCTGCTGTGCCTCATGTCGCAGAGTCTATACACTGCTCCTCTGTTCTGCCCTCTGGTCTCCTTGCCTTGGCTTCTGGTCTTGGCTTGGCTCCTTTGCTCTGTCTCGGACTCCATGCCGCAGCCTCTGGTCCCTCTGGGTTGGGCCTCCATCAGTTTAGACAGAGCTCTCGAATATGCTCCACTGGTGACTCGTCTTCCTTCATGGACCTGGGATTCCTTTCTCGGTTTTTCTAGGTTTTTTTTTCCTTCTTCCAAGGCATCTCTAGCGGGTTCAAACTGACAATCGTTTGGCATTTAACACAAGATAGACACGGAATTAATTGCAGCAGTTGGGATTGGGATGATAGAGATGTTGAAAGGCAGGAAGGTAGAAAGCTCACTCTGCAAAAGAAACTTTCTCCATTTGATCCTCTGGAGAGCTGTGCTGCTTCCCTAACTTGGAAATGATGATTCAAGTGCCATGAGCCTCCCAGTGCCCCACAAAGACAGATTCCCTGACTTTCTCGAAAGGGGAAGCAGAGTGGAGGCTTCTTACTAGAGGAAGGGATGAATGAGGGCTTAAAATAGAGCCACTTGAATGTACAAGCTTAACTCCATTTTTAAGTCTTAACACCAGTCTAAAATCCACATGGAATTCACCAGCACTTCCTCGTGGTGCAGACTAACCATGCAGCCTAAGGAGAGTCTTTATTTCCGAGATCTGGTGGGTGCAGGATATCACAGTCTATTCCTGGAGAGTCGTTCCATTGTAGATAAGCAGGTGAAAGATATAATGGTTTATACCTGCGGGGTTTTGATGAACAGCATTATTGAAAAGTCTTTACAACAGACCTCCGGAAACAGTCAAGACTGAGAAAGCAATTACTGTAACAAAATTACCCCCAAAATCTGCCCTGAAATCGTCCTGTGGCCACCCAGATGCAAACAGAAGCTCGCGCATCCTTTGCAATGATGTGCTGGTAACCCATATACGTGCTATATGCAATTCACTTCTCTCTATAGAATTCTTGCTTTTAAAAATCCTATTTTCTACTCTTCTGACAATTTGATGTTGTAACGTTTAGCTTTGGCTCCAACTGTACAAAACTGTTGGGTTTTCCTTCTTGTCTGGTGTGGTGGCCGTGTGCGCCCAGATTGTCTCTATGTCAGAACGAACCAGACCCTATCCCTCAAAAAGCTGGTTCATGGAGGTCAAGGCTTCTGTGAGACATACTTGGGGCACAAAGGAGAGATAGCATGAAATGCAGCATCCTGAGTTTTCTATCCTGGCACATTTGGGATGACCCCACATGCATGAAACAGCAGCTAGCTCTGTGTACTCAGTCAGATCTAGCAGGCTGGCAGGTCACCAGGATTCCTCCACAGTCTGCCGATGCCAGGGTGGCTCTCCTTGATGGGAACAGTCTAAGCGTCTGTGGGGTTGCTCATCCCCCTGTTGTGGGAAGGGGTTATCAGGACCAAGGCAGCAAAAGCGAAAACAGAAGACTTATGCACACCCCTTACTTCTCAGATCTTGTTTCAGATTAGGGTGGAGAAAATAAATGTACCATGAACAGTGATGACTCCTCAGAGCCTAATCTTTGCAGAAGTAGTGAGCAGTTCATGCCTTAGGTGGGTGAGCTCAGAGAAAAATTTGTAGTACTTATTGTGACAATAAGGCAAAGGGTCAAAATAAAGCCTTCGGATCCTGGACTCCAAATTCCACTGACAAGTCACTTCACAGAACCCTTCACTCATGAAAAAAAACCTTCAAAGTTTAACTCTCTACCCAACACAACAATTTCATCTATAAAAACAACAACAATAATAAAAGGAAAAAAATACACTGCCTTCGAATTGATGGGGACTCATAGCAACCCTATATGACAGAGTAGAACTGCCCTTTTGGGTTTCTGAGACTATACATCTTGCAGGAGAAGACAGCCTTGTCTTTCTCCCACAGAGCAGCTGGTAGGTTTGAACCACCAACTTTGAGGTTAGATAGCTATCACAGAACTCACTATGCCACCAACACTTCTGAATTTCATCTCCATTGCCCCCAAATTGCCCGGTGACAAATACCTTTGGTGGTAGTGAGCTCCATGTTCTGTACTCCAAAATGAGGAGCACTAATTCTCTGAAAGCCTTCATGCTCACCCAAGAACCGCTCCCCTGTGGCACATCCCGTCCACTCATTGGTTCTACAGACAGCCTCTGAATGGTTCAACATAAGTGGACTCGCTCTTCCTTGAAAACAGTTTTTGAAACACATAAGAACAATTCTAAGCACTGGGAGCTGCCACAGGGGCCAGCTCACACAGTGACAGGTTTGAGCTCAAAAGCAGGCAATATTATCAGCAACACTGAATCAGAAAACAAAGGAAGAGAGACCAATTAATACCATCATCAGAACAGCCTGCCCCAGCATCGTGCAGCCTCCACCCCAGACAAATAACCTCACACTAAAAGCAAATGACCAAGCATTCCGTAGCTCCTACTGTGGGACTTCAAGAACACCTTTGGAGAAAGCATGCTCTACTGTAAACTAGGTTCTGGAGATGAGTCAAAGGAGGGCCCTGGTCCTATGTAGACCTATGCAGGGCCCAATCACTTTCAGCAGATATGGACATTGTGTAACACAACGTGGAGAGGCGGATCTCTGTGTGACTCAAACAGGAAAATGCTCAACTAGTAAGTAGCTAAAAGGTTGCTAGTTCTCATTCACTCACAAGGGACTTGGAAGACGGGTCTGGTGATTTCTTCAGAAAATTTCCAGCCTTGAAAATGCCAGGGAGCCGTGCTACTCTACACAAGGGGATCGCCCTGGATCTGACTCGATCCCAACAAACAATCATAGAAGTACGTTAAGGAAAGGAAACTGCTTCCCTGGACAACAAGATTACATCATGCTGTGAGGCATACACAGTGTACACAAGACAGGGCCAGGGGACACTCAGTGATTAGAAACCAAACAGAACAGATACAGTAAATGCCAGCCCCAGAAAAGCAGGCGCTTAGAGATTTTCAAGCCCATTGTTGCAAAGACAGAAACCTAAACCCAGGGGAGGCAGGGAGGCACCTGAGGTTTGCAAAGCATGGCAGGGTGAGAAGAAAAAAACTCTCCCGATCCCTCATTCTGGGCTCTGGCCCACATCACACTGCTACCTTATTTCACCACACAACTGCAAAACATCCATCCAAATAGCCACTATTTCCCCAAACTGACAAGCTCCGGGGGTGGGGGTGGGGGGCACGGAGGTGGGGCTGGAAGACAGGGGCAGAATTTTACATTCCTCGGATTAAGAGCAAAGCGATTCCCAGATGAGTGCACCGATCTCCCAGGAGCACACAGACTCCTGTGTCCTGTTTTGGTGTGACGGACACAAAACTGCGGGCAGAAACCAAACTCACAGGACGATGAGCTTGCAGGAAAATCACGAACGCTGAACGGGGAACCACGCCCAACGCCAATCGGACGGCGTCGATGGAGAATGCAGAGCTGGGAAGGGGAGACTCTGAAAAGAAGAGGGCAAGAGGGGGGCGAAGGGGGACTCTTCACAAAGGTCAAGTTTTCCGCAGGAGGCAGCGTGGGGAAGCGCAAACCATTCCTGGGGCCGCGGGAAATTTGGGGTCTCCTGGCAACTCTGAGACGGACTCTCTGGGTCAGTGACCTCAGGCAAGCCCCTTCTCGTTCCTGGGCCTCAGTCTCCTCACCTGTCCCGGGAGGCGGCTGCACCTGACGTCCCTCGGTTCCCCCAGTGCAGGCGTTCTATGCCCCCGCCCCCACCTCCGCCAGACGTGCAGCGCATCTGACTCGTGGCAACCCCTTGTGTTTCCGAAGAGAATTGCACTTCATAAGGTTTGCAGCGCCCAAAGACCCATTCCTTACTAGCGGGTCGCGGAGCAGGGTTCCCGCAGCCACTGGAGCCTTGCCCCCAGATAACCGGGCCCCTTTGGGAAGCGCGAGAGAACCGCAAGCTAGACGTCTGGGTGACCTCTGACGTCTGGGGACTTCGGTTTCCCCACCTGTCAAAAAGCACCAGGGGATCGCAGCCCCACAAGGTCACGGGAGATGACAGGAGGGGCGGGCGGGGAGAATCCTCCGGTCCGGCCCCCTCTGCGGAGGGTCGCCCGGGACGACATGCATCAGATCTCCTGCCAGGAGCAGCCCAGTGCCGCCCGGACCTGGGGCATCCAGCGCGCCCCGGAGGAAGGAGAGGTGGGTCCTGCCGAGAGCGGTGATCCGCCGCAGCCCGAGCTCGTCCAGACGCAGACTCACCGCTCCGGCTCCGGACCAGGCTCCGACTCCGGCTCCGGCGTCCGCGCAGCCCCCCGTGCCCGCTTCAGAGCCCACCTCTGGCCATCCCCTTCGGCTGCCGGGGCAGCAGCTTCCGGGCCCTGTCACGTGACCGAGGCGCTCCTGCCGGGGGCCGAGATCACGTGCAGCCGCTCCTCCCTGTCGCTCGCTGAGCCCAGAAACTGTGCTCCGCAGCAGCACCTGGTGACCTCGAGCGGCTACTGCAGGAGAGGACGCCGCCCCGGGGGCTGGGGTCCAGCGTGCAGGCTCAGTGCCCTTGAATTGTGCTGCCTGGGCAGAGGCCAGCGTCGGAGGGCCCTCCCGGCGGAGCTGTAGGCTTGGGAAAGACGCTTCAAGTTGACGCTTGCTGTTATTTTCCTTAACCCTTCTCAGTGAACTTACTTTGCTTTTACAAAATAGAAAAGAAATATGCATCTTTTAAAAACCATCCCTTCATATTTGTAGAAGGATGCATAAGCTTGTCTGAAGATATGAATGGGACCGGGAAATAGGGAAGCCTCGGTTTAATATATTTTAAATGTTAAGTATATTAATTTACTATAAAGTATTAATAGTTTAGTGTGTTTCTGGTAGATTATTACCTAGGCTTCTCTTCTTTCATCCTCTTCTTCATACTTTTTCCTTTTTAAATATTACATATTTACTCAACTAAAAAGATTAAGAAAAACAGATGCATGTTACAACAAAGGTAAATTTCTATAGACTCTTTTTGGTCTATCTTAAAATACCTATATTGAGTGAATGAAGGCAGAGAGGGAAATGACATTTACAGAATGTGGTGGAAATACAAAACGATACATAGTGACAACAAAGAGATAGCGCTTGTCTAGACAGGTGTAGACAAACGATGTGATGCCGAGTATTATGTGCTGTCTTGGCTCGGCCATGATTCTCGGTGGTTTGGGGGTAGTATTCAACCATCCTCTACTTGGAGATCATTTGAAGGGGCGTTTCCTTGGGGAAACATACACACACATACATACATACACACACACACACACATATACTTTAGCAAAGTCCACCTTCTGTGTATCTGACTCATCATCTCTGGCCCGCTGGTTCTTGAGGGCAGAGGGCAGATTTTGATGATCAAACCCTGCAGCCACTTGAGTCTAAAGAAACCTCCAACTTGGCACCTGATCCACAGATTTAGGACTTGGCAATGTCCACTGCTTTGTTAGACAGTTCACACACACACACACACACACACACACACACACACACACTTCAGTGGTTTGGCTCCTCTAGAGAACCCAACTGATGCAAAGGGAGCAAGGAACGTACAAAGAAACGTGAGGAAACTTTGGAATGACAAGTATGTTCAAACTCCCTCATGCAGTGCCAGGGAGTTGCTTCTGACTCATAGTGACACTGGAAGCCCGGGCAGAGCTGCCTCGTGGGGTCCTGAGTCTGTACGTCTTTAGGGAAGCAGAGAGCCTCATCTTCCTCCTGCAGAGAGGCAGGTGGGTTCAAAGAGCTGATGGTTTGGTTGATAAACCAACTCATCACCCAGTAGGGCTCCTTTAAAGTATGTTCTGTGTTTTTATTGTGGTAATAGTTTCACAGATGAATGTGTATGATGAAATATATTAAATTGTAAATGAGGACGTTAAAGTACTGACCAAAAAAACACTGGGTCAACAACAAAATTGATTATTGAATAAGGTTTAATTAAGCAGTATAGCAATTTTCAATCAAATGCCATCAAACTGAAAGTGGATAGGAATAATTCCCCTATTATCAGCAGTTGACTGACTATTTATTGAGAAAATTCAGAAGCAAAAGCAGCATATTTCTGGTTGGCTGATGCAACGTACTGTAGAAGTGCGGTCACTTTTTCATTGGTTACGGACAGTGGAAGCACTACGGTCACCTGACTTCCAGGACATTTTGGCTTGAATTTCAAAGAGAAAAAGTGTAAGGGACAGTGTCTACCCAACTGCCTCCGCCATTTTGTCTGGCACGTAGCTTCATATTGTATTTCATTTAATAGCATTAAGTTTTAAAAGTATGTGACTAATTCACTTTAATATTAGAAGTTCAGACAATATGAAAGTCTATACCCATTGCTATCAAGTCAATTCCACCTACAGTGATTCTAAAGGCAGAGGAGACTGGCCCGTAAGTTTCAAAAGCCCATAAATTTTTTATGGGAGCACATTGTTACATCGTTCCTCCATAGAGCCGCTGGTATTAGCAACCAATCAATTAACAATTGCATCACCAGCGTGCCCTATAAAAAATTATAGACAGTGTAAATGTCCCCCTCCCTGAATACTTCTCTCAAAAGGTTTAGTTACCAATAAATGGATATTTTCCCCAAACCCAATTTTATACTTTAAAGAAAAATATAGATTTGTGATCTTAAAAATTAGCATCATGAATGCTAAAATTTGTTTTGCTTAAGTCTTATTCTCATCATTGTCTATCCTACTTAACTATTTCACCAATGACATATATGAATTTATGTATCTTTTGAAACATAGTTTATTTTTTTTAAAACTACTGGTTTATTTCACTAGGAAAAGAGAAAAGAATGCTGATTTATGCCCAATTAAGTACCTTTACACTACCCACAAAGGGACCCGCAATGCTTACTGAGTACTTACTCAGTGTCAGGAATTGTGCTTGCAATACTGCCCAGCCCCATCAAGGCATGCACTCTGCAAGCTCCAGGGCTCAGAGTTGAGGGATTCAGTGGTTCCTCAGATGCTTCCTCCTGGGAAACCACATCTTCTGAGAAGCGCACAACTCCCTTTGGGAATTACTGGTACAAGTGGAATGCGCCTTTCCCAAACTGCCCCTAGAATCCCCTGGTGGTGCAAACACAATGTCTTTGGTTGCTAGCTCAGAGGTTGGTGGCTTGAGTCCACCCAGAGTTGCCTCAGAGGGCATGCCTGACCATCTACTGCTGAAAGATCAGGTATGAAAAACCCTAAAAACACAGCTCTATGCTGACACACAGGGTCACTAAGAATAAACTTGATGACAAATGAGTAGGCCAGAGAACCTGCTCATGGGCAGCTTAGTAAGGCTTCTACCTTGTTTCTGACCACCACACCCTTATTAGAGGGCTCCTTGGAAGAAAGACAAAGCTTTTTTTCATTTTCAGAGTTCAGACTCTATCCATTTTTGGTTATTCAGTCCTAGCAA